GCAGGGTTCCGGGGGGCCTACACCTGGAGGAGAACTCCGCGCCTCCTCCCTCTCCCTCGGTTCACCCCGGGGGCAAATACAGACACCCTGTTCGACAAAACTGCATCACCCGGGGGTGGAAAAGAGAAATGTGAGTGAGGCCATCCGTGGTTGTGGTGTCTGCCACTTAGGGGACACGCCTCTTCCGTCTGAGGACCCAGCCCGGGGATGTGTCACTGACCAGAGGCCCGCGAGTCAGGAAGGGTAAGTCACAAGACACAGCCCCAAGCTCTCTCGCCGGCTGTCCACGCTTCCCATTAACACCAGGACCCTCGGGATGGGGCCTTGACTGGGCACTGACCCCAGTCTGAAGGGGGAGGGGGGAGGAGTCACTGCTCTGAGCACCGGCCACCGCGGGCCAGGCCCATCCACTCACGGACCACAGTCTCCTCGGAGCTGGGAAGAGCTCGCAGCTATAGCCGTGGGTCTCATCCGGGTGGTCCTGCCCCGGGGCTGTGGTTGTCACACTGGGGGTGCTCCTGGCATTGAGTGGGTGGGGCCAGGGATGCTGCTCAGCCCCCCCCAGTGCCCAGGACGGCCCCACAGAGAATGACTCGGCCTTGAGTGTCCTGCTTGGGACTCAGGAGCCGCCGGAGTGACCATCTCTTTCCCAGAATCCGGTTTCTTAAGTCAGATTTGCCCTTTCTACTTAAGAAATCCGAACCTCGAGATTCCAGGAAATCAGCAACAGGGTTCCCCAGCGGGGGCATGTCTAAAACTTCCCGGAGGGAAAACCCGAGTTCCCGGCCGGCCGTGTGGGGGATTTTCGTTAAACTTCCGTCTTATGAAGCCCTGGAGACCAGAGAGGAGCTCCCGGAAGGGTGATTAACGGCTGGCTTTTCCAGAACTCAGTGGGCTTCGGGGCGTTTTTACATATGAAACGGACAGCCTCGCACTTGGTTGGAATCTGAATCACCTGAAAAGTTCAGGAACTGAAACAACATTTCTGTGAACCCCCTGGGGGACTAAAATAACCACTTTTGCCTTTGCTGAGAGAGAGACAGGAACTTAGAATCCAGCTTGTCACAGATATTTGGGGCGCCTGGAATGCGAACCCCGCGCTCGCCTCTGCGAGACATTTAACGATGATAAAGACACACTCTCTCCTTCAGGGAGGTTCAGATAAGAAGCAAACCGTCAAGGGGCCGGCCTGGTGGCGCAAGCGGTTAAGTGCGTGTGCTCCGCTGTGGCGGCCCAGGGTTCGCCGGTTCGTATCCCGGGCGCGCACCGACGCACCACTTGTCAGGCCATGCTGTGGCGGCGTCCCATATAAAGTGGAGGAAGATGGGCACGGATGTTGGCCCAGGGCCAGTCTTCCTCAACAAAAAGAGGAGGATTGGCAGATGTTAGCTCAGGGCCGATCTTCCTCACAGAAAAAACAAACAAACAAAAAGAAGTAAACCATCAAGCCAGGAAAAGACACAAGGAACCGTAAACACACGTTACTAAGTGGAAGAGGCCAGTCTGAGAGGGCGACACACTGCAAGTCCAACTCTGGAACATTCTGGAAAAGAGAGAACTACAGAGACAGTACAGGATCCCTGGTTTCCAGGGGTCGGGGGAGGGATGAATAGGCGGGGCACAGGGGACTTTTACGGCAGTGACACTACTCTGTACGACACCGTGACGGTGGATACATGACATTATGTATTTGTCCCAACCTATAGAACGCACACCACCAAGAGTGAACCCCAGTGTCAACCGCGGACTCTGGGTGACAATGACGTGTCCATGGAGGTTCATCCTTGTAACCAATGTCCCGCTCTGGTGGGGGACATTGATCATGGGGGGGCTGTGCGTACATGGGGGCAGGAGGTATATATGGGAATTCCCTGTTCCTTCCCCTCAGTTACACTGTGAGCCTAAAACTGCTCTAAAAAAATAAAGTCTATTAAAAAAAATTATAGCTAACACTAATTCATCAATTACGACACACCAGCATTTGGCTAAACCCTTTGAGTAGCTCACCCCACTGAAGAAATAGCTGAAGCCACAAACAGGAAGCAGAAAACGACCAATCCTATGGAAGCAGGAGCTGCACGTATACGTGTGGAAAGAATCAACGCCACGGAAGGTGCTAGAAACATAATGTGTGCCACATGTGTGACTTCAAATTTTCAGAAGCCACATTGAAAAGTAAAAAAATGAACAGAAGCAGGTGAAATTAATAGTAATAATATATCCTATTTAACCCAAGAGCACCAAAATATCATTTCGACACCTAACGTATATAGAAAATATTAAGGGGATATTTTGCCTTTTTTTTTTTTTTTTTTAACACACCGAGTCTCCGGGACCTGGTGTGTATTTTGCACTTGTATAGTCCATCTCAATTCGGACCAGCCATGTTTCAAGCGGTCACTAGCCACGCATGGCCAGCGGCTGCTGCACTGCTTGGCTCAGCTCTAGAGAGTCGAAGGAGAGGGAACACGGGAGCGACAGGACAGGTGCTGCTGGAGGTGGGTTTGGATTCAGATCCTGGGGACGGGGCTATGCCTTGCTGGGGGTGAAGAAACAGAGGGCACCTTCCGGGAGGGAGGGGAGACACAGGTGCCCTGGGGTGAGGGCAGGGGCAGCCGGGACTTCCCCTCACTCTGTTCCCACTCCACACCCAGCACCCTGGTTCAGTGAGTCCTGACGACAGACCCTGAGGGGTTACACACGTGGGGAAGCGATCACTCAGTCCTTAAGATGTCAACTCCGGGGGCATGGGGGCTCAGGGCTTCCAGGAGGCTGCAGTGCCCTGTCCTGACGGGACCCTTGGCGCCACCCAGGGCCAAGTCGGTGAAATGGGCTAACATGATGAGTCCCTGAACTTCAGGTTGGGTGGAGAGAGGAATGAGGAAGTGGCTGGAGGGGCCCCATGTAACAGAACCAAGTCGGAACCCAGAAGTGCAGGCCGGCAGGTGGGCTGTGAAATACGCACCAGTGCACTGTGCATCGTATGTCAGAATTTGCTCAACTGCATGTTTTGAATGTGTGCAGTCGACTGTATGTCAATTAAACTTCTGTAAACTGTAAAAAAGGATGCAAGGGGCTCAGAGAGAGCACACGTGTGTAAAGACCGGAAGACTCTCACCCCCAAATTAACAGCGGCTCTGAGACTTAGTTTTTGCTCTGTGACTTTCTGGATTTTCCAATCGGCCACCTTCCCTTTTCAGTGACATTTTATAACATACAGGGACGTTTAAAGCAAACGCAAGCCCTCCAGCCAGGGCAGAGAAGGAGCTGTGAGGTCGCACAATGGGCAGTACTGACCGCTCCCCCCCCAGGCCTTCCCAGTGCTCAGTGACTCTGGGGACCAGGACACAGGACGCCTGCCTTTAAAAGGCCCGGGTCCCCTTGGGTTGGGGGGCCCTGAAATCCTGCGACTTTGGGTCCCAACCAGGAGGCGGGGGTCCTGGTGATGGTTAGTGACAAGACCTCCCGCCGCCCGCATTCGGTCTTCCTGACGGATCGGTCCTCCCGCCGCCCGCGTTCGCCCCGCCCGACGGATCGG